CTTCCTAGATATTTGCACTTTCAAACAGAGCAACCAAGTGTAAAACTTTGCATATGCATCATTTCACTTGTGTGCAAATATAACACAAAAGTGGAATTGGGGGCTCAGAGGGGACATGCCTTTGTAATTTTAGTGGATATAGTTATTAGATGTTATATTATGTTTCATGTTCAATGCACAATAGTAGTGTAACCTATAGGGACTGTTATCAAATCCTTTGTGTTTTGCACAGTGGCAAAGGGAACTAAACCTAGGTACAGCTTCTAGTTTGCATTTCCTTTTGTTATAAGAGATTTGCATTCTAGAAAGATAACTGGCTGCTGGGTGCAGAATGGAACTGAGGGGCTGAGAGTAGAAGAGGCTGGCTACAGGTGGTGGTGGCTGGATCATCAGCATGGGAGCTGTGAAGTAAGAGAAGTGGATAGATGGGGGGCTGGTCCAAGGGCCACCTGACTAGGGGTCTGGAGGGTTGTGGCTCTGGTGGCAGAGAAGGTGGTGAGGCCAGAGTACAAAGCCTCTGTGCTTGGGAGGCAGGCAGAGAGGTCTCTGTAGCCATACAGGGGCACTTCTAGGAATGCCTTGGTTACCACCACTGCTGCTTGTCCTCTGCCCACAGGCAGAAGCTGCATGAAGCGGATCTAGAGCTGCAGCGGAAGCGGGAGTACATTGAGGAGCTGGAGCCACCCACCGACAGCAGCAGTGAGCAGTGTTTGGCAGCCAGATGGGTAGGGGGAGACCTGAGCTTGGCGTGGAGCTGAGGGGCCATCTTGTTCCCCCAGCAGATCGGCGTATCGAAGAGCTTCAGGACAGCCTGCAGAAGAAGGACGCAGACTTGCGGGCCATGGAGGAGCGGTACCGCCGCTATGTGGACAAGGCACGCACGGTGAGGGTGCTGAGTGACCTCCTGCTCAGGCTGTTGCCTCCCTTTGGGTCACACCTCCCACCAGTTTGCACATTTCTGCCCCCAACACCTAAGCCTGTCATACCCCATCATGTCACAGACGTCTACACCATGGCTATCACTTGCCACACTTAACACACCCCAATGGGTCAAACAACCTGTGAAGCCAAAGTCATCTTGGCTGTGTCTTCCCCACCCCTAGGTCATACAGACCTCAGGACCAAAGCAGCGGCCACTTGGGGGAGTGCTTCCAGAACTCCATAACTTGAGGACGAAGCTCCGGGAGCGGGAAGTCCGAATCCGACACCTGGAGGTGGGTGCCTTCATCCCTTCTCACTACCCCCAGCATATCCAGGCCCTTGACAGTTGCATCCTTGACAGATGGACTTTGAAAAGAATCGAAGTCAGCGGGAACAGGAAGAAAAGCTGCTCATCAGTGCCTGGTATAATATGGTGAGTGCACTAGCACCAGGGCTGGAGTGTTGGGGGCATTCCTTGGGCTCACCTGGTGTCAACCACACCCCTCCCTCCAGGGCATGGCCTTGCAGCAGCGAGCAGGGGAAGAACGGGCACCCGCCCATGCTCAGTCATTCCTGGCCCAGCAGCGGCTGGCGACCAACGCTCGCCGTGGACCCCTGGGACGCCTAGCATCCCTGAACATGCGCCCCAATGACAAGCACTGATGGGCCTCAGGATCCTGCCACCTGCCCAGCCAGGCTTAATCCACCCTAGGTTCCCTCAACTTCCCTGGGACCCAGCATCATGCCTGGGTCAGCTGCTCAACATCCTTGAGGTCTTGACCTGTGCCTTTTGCTTTCCCAGATGAGACAAGAGTGCAGGACAGGGTGGGAGGCAGGTATGGGTCTGTTCTTTTTGGCAATGTGATTCTTATCCTTAATATTCTCCCTGAGGTTAATGAGCTGCCAGGGTAGAAAGAGTGATTTTATATTTGAGAAGAAAAATAATAAAGTCTTTCAGTCTGCTCTGGCTGGACTTTGGGCACTGAGGTGAGGGAGAGAAGATGGGCCCGGGACTTAGACCACTGCTTTTAAGAAAGGCCTGGCTTGTGGTCTTACTAAAGTGTGAGTGACAGATAGTACCCAGGGAGAGGTGAGAGTCATATTTGCATTTGTGTAATTGTGCATGTGTGGTGATTTTAAAGAAACTTCAGACAAAAATCCCTGCTTTATGAAGCTGTTATTTCCAATGAAGGAAGATGGACAATAAAGGAAATAGATAAAAGTTTTATGTGAGAAGTTCAATAGAGAAAAATATAGCAGACAAGTTATGGGGGTACAAGAAGTGGATTTGGAAGGGCTATTAAAAACTTTTTAATGCCCAGTTGGGCGTGGCTCAGCAGGTTGAGCCTCAACCTAGGATCCAGGCAATCGGGGTTCGATTCCCGGTCAGGGCACATGCCCAGGTTGC